CTTAGTTTTAGCCTTGAGTCGTGTTAGGTTGTAAAGAGAACCATCTAACCTTGTGTGGAGAAATACATCACTGTGTGAGTTTAGAAATGCACAATTTAATAGGACTGAGAAGAATATACCAAAGAGGGTAGGAGCAAGGACACATCCCTGTTTGACTCCATTCTTCCCCAAAAAGGGTTCAGATATAGATCCGTCATAGTACACTGTTGCTTTCAGATCTTCATGAAAAGATATTAGAAGCTTGAGCAGAGTTGGTGGACAGCCAATCTTAGTTAACACTTTGTACAATCCTGGTCTACTGACTGTATCGAATGCCTTTGCTAAGTCCACAAATGCTATAAACAGTGGCTTTCCTTGCTCTCTGCATTTTTCTGGTAGTTGAAGAGAAAAAATCATGTCCATTGTTGACCTGCCAGCCCTGAAGCCACACTGTTTCTGGATAGACTCGATCTGTGAGTTTTTGCAGGTGATTAAAAATGACACGAGCAAATGCTTTACCTGTAATGCTTAGCAAAGAGATGCCTCTGTAAATGTTATAGTCCCCCTTATCACCTTTGTTTTTATAGAGAGTAATGATGTTTGCGTCCCTCATATCATGAGGGACCACTCCTGCTCGCCAACATTTTATAAGTAAGTCATAGAGGAAGGGGATGAGGACAGCTATGTTAGCCTTCAGAACTTCAGCTGGAATCCCATCATTACCTGGTGCTTTTCCACTGGAGAGAGCATCAAGTACTTGGGAAAGCTCTTCCACCATAGGCTCTACATCTAGCTCTAACATTTCTGGAAGAGTTGGAATGAGGTTATCAAGTTCAGGATGTATTGTACGCTCATGGGAGTAAAGACTTGAGTCGTGTTCCACCCATCAGGCCATCTGTTGGTTTTTAATCTATAATCACCTGTCCATTTAGATGTTTCAATGGAGCAACTTTGGTAATGTTTGGTCCAAGTGCTTTCTTCAGTCCATCAAACATGGTTTTCAGGTCACTCATATCGAATGCTTTTTGAATTCCAGAACACAGATCGGCCCAATACTTGTTTGCACACCATCTGGATTCTCTCTGAAGAGCAGATCTTGTATGGCGGAGCTGATCTCTTGAACTTTGCGATGGATTCTTTATGTTATTCAGAAAAACCTTGTTTTTTTCTTCAAGAAGAGGCCTGAGAATGTCAATGTTTTCATCAATCCAGTCTTTGTTGGAAAATTTCTGTGTTCCAAAGGCAGATGTGGCACATTCATATATCGCAGCACTCAGCATGGACCATGTCTCATCAACAGACTGCTGGACAGGGTTGTCTTCCATTTTGCGTGTGAATTCTTCCTCAAAGACAGAGCATTTCAGTACATCTCTAGTATTGACGGTGTTTACCTTTGGTTTTCTGCAATCCCTTGAGGTATGGAGTTTCTTTGGAGCAATTTTCACTCTACTGATAATCAATCCTAGAATACTAGGACTGGAAGGAACCTTGAGAGGTCATCGAGTCCAGTCCTCTACCTTCATGGCAGGACCAAATACTGTCTAGACCATCCCTGATAGACATTTATATAACCTACTCTTAAATATCTCCAGATTCCACAACCTCCCTGGGCAATTTATTCCAGTGTTTGACCACCCTGACAGTTAGGAACTTTTTCTTAATGTCCAACCTAAACCTCCCTTGCTGCAGTTTAAGCCCATTGCTGCTTGTCCTATCCTCAGAGGCCAAGATGAACAAGTTTTCTCTCTCCTCCTTATGACACCCTTTTAGATACCTGAAAACTGCTATCATGTCGCCCCTCAGTCTTCTCTTTTCTAAACTAAACAAACCCAATTCTTTCAGCCTTCCTTAATAGGTCATGTTCTCTAGACCTTTAATCATTCTTGTTGCTCTTCTCTGGACCCTCTCCAATTTCTCCACACCTTTCTTGAAATGCGGTGCCCAGAACTGACACAATACTCCAACTGAAGCCTAACCAATGAGTGATCAGTGTCACAATCTTCCCTGTGATACGCTCGTGTAAATTTAACAGAGTTGAGATGTTTTCTGCGGACCAGTACAAGGTCAAGCTGATGCCAGTGACCAGATCTCGGGTGGCGCCATGAGACCTTGTGACAGTCTTTTAAGTTGAAAAAAGTATTAGTGATGGAGAGAAGATTCTGAGAACTGAATTCAAGAAGCCTTTGACCATTTTAATTCATTTTTCCAATGCTGCAATGACCTAGGCACGTGGGCCAAGACTTATGTTCGCGTCCCACTCTTGCATTAAAATCACCAAGAATGTACAGTTGTTCTCAGGACGAACAAGAATCGACAGCTTTCTGAAGATTACCATAGAAGCGGTCTTTGTCTTCAGTGCATGACGTTAGTGTAGGTGCATAAGTACTTATGATGTTAACATATCCTGACTTGGTGCTGAGCTTTAGGAATATAATGCGTTCTGATTCAGCTATGGGTGTATTGATAAAGTTCAGACTGTTATTAAAGAGTCCTATACATATAGTAGGAAAGGGATAAAACTAATGGGCTTGTATAGAAATTGAATATGTTTCTATACAATGTAATAGATTTAAAAACTAGTAGCCCTGTGGCACCTTAGAGACTAACATTGTATGTACGTGTGCGTGCGCTTGCACACACACACACTCATGAGCTTTTGTGGGCAAAACTCACTTTTTCAGATGAGCTTATTTTTGCCCATGAAAGCTCATGCTATATTATCTAAGGTGCTATAAGACTACTACTTGTTTTTAAAGATACAGACTAACATGGCTACCCCGCTGAGATTTTTATAGGTTTCTTGAACCCTCCCATTGCAGGGATATAATTATCTATTAAAGTCCTTAGAGTTATCAAAAAGTATACAGGCAGTCCCCGGGTTACGTACAAGATAGGGACTGTAGGTTTGTTCTTAAGTTGAATTTGTATGTAAGTCGGAACTGGTACATATTGTAGGGGAAACTCTAGCCAAACATTTCTCCAGAGCTCAGTTTTATTCTCCCACACCTCACTTCCCTCAGTCCTTTATTCTCAAGCTGAGGTGTCTGCTGAGAAAAGCTGCTCTGCGTCTCCCTGGTCTGCTGGGGGGGGGGGGGGGGGCTAGCTTCGCGTCTCCCTGATCTGCTGGGGGGAAGCAGCTAGTGCGGGGTTGCCTCACCCCGTTTGTAAGTAGGGATCTGATGTAAGTCGGATCCATGTAACCCAGGGACTGCCTGTATTGTATAGGTTATTTCCACAGAGAAAAGAACAGGGCAGAAAATTGGTTGGGGAGGAAGATGTCTCAATTTTACCTCTTTATAACAAATGGCTGATGGTTATGATTTGGGGAAATCTCCATTTGCTGCAGGTAGCAGGATTTTATCATTATCAGGATTTTAAAAAAATGTGAAAATACCAAGAGGCTCAAGCAATAAGCACATTTTATTTCAACATTAATAAAAAGTATCAGTGAGCAAATAATTCCATTAACTGAGGACTCTATTTCAAATTAGAAGTTTTGACCAAGATTTCCAAAAATGACTCAATTATATTGAATGCTTGCCTTGAAACACCTTAAGGAGTCTGATTTTTATGAAGTTCTGGCTGAGCATCCAGTATGAAATTTTGGCTCCACTAAAGTCATTGGAAAAACCTACACTCACTTCAATAGGGCCTGATTTTCAGTCCCAGCTTCTGCAAATTCATGCCCATTTAAAGTGTCTTAAGTTTGGCATCCAAAAATCAGTCACTTTGGGAAATCATGACCTACGTTTTTATTTTCATGAAATTATTTATTAATCTCTACCAGTGCACTATCTAGAGTGCTCACAAATGCACAAGAAAGGAAACTCTAAGGAAAGGAAACTGCATTAGCAGGTAAAAATCTAGCTGGCCTAATAGGTATTTTCCATCTTTATCTTCTACATATGTAGCTCTCATGAGAAAAGGTGGCTACACATTATAGGAGGTAACATGTTAGAAAGATGTGTCTGAAAGCCCCAGTTCAGCAATATACTGAAACGAGTGGCTCCACTGACTTTATCACTTAAAAGTTCTGCAAGTGTTTAAGTACCTTGCTGAAACAAAGCATAATAGTTCAGTAAACTGACATGCAAAAGAAGAGCCAACAGAGATGGCCAACAGAGCATCTTATGAGTTTTAAGCTTCTTGCTCACCCTGCCAAATAGCCTTCTCTTTTTCATTTAGAAGATTTACCTGGCATTGCTTGGATTCTTAACTCAAATAAATTTAGTTTTTCTTCATATAAATCACTGTTCTCCAATGGAGCAGGGGATGAGGGATTCAGTATGCACGCTGCCCCAGAGACAGAGGACAACTTCAGCCATCTCACCACAGCAGGTTGGGGACAAGTGAGAAGCACCTGTCTATGGCCGCTGCAGCAGATGGCCGGGAGACCGATGCACCCACAAACTCTCTGAAGTATACAGCAGATAGCTGTCCCTTTCCTCACCCATGTCCCCTGCTGGCCAAATGGAGTTATAATGGTCCTGGTCCCCATCTCTGGTCCCTTGTTGCTCCCCTCTGGCCATTCTTCAGAGTAACTGTCCCACCTACCAGACTCCTTTCTTTCCATTTTATGAGAAACAATCAAATTCCATGCACATCCCACTGTCCTGGCACAACCAAATTCTGACCTTGCTTTACGTTATAAGAGAAAGTTGCATAGCAAATTTGGCTCTTACCATTTTAGGAGGAGTTCTTGAACAGACAGACTCACAGACAGCCAAATGCACATTTCTAAAATATGCAGTAAGATGTGAAGAATCTAGTTTAATTTATCTCTACCAAACTTAGTTCTGTCTTTTCCCACTGAATGAATGGTCTGCTCTACAGAAACTCCTTGGAGGCCAAGACTGTCTTTTTCTTCTGTGTCTGTACTGCATCTAACACAATGAATTCCTGAGCAATGACAAGGACCCCAAGCACCCTATGAAAATACTACTACTTATAAAGACAGTAATGTTATTTATTTAAAGAGGCAGGTTATTTTTCCCCCTTCTACCTATTATTCTGATACCTACCAGATGAGCTGATCATTGTAGAGAAAGGCAGTATATTTGACTATGTTCAAGCTCTCCTCCATTCTATTAATAAATGACTGGATTTTCAAGTAAGTCATTTTGTCCAATGGAAAGAAGCTGATTCCACAAAAAACATCCAGCAGATCACATGACTGTAAATGCAGTGTTTGCAAATACTGAAGGAACAAATATAAAGGAAAGGAGGGAAGTTAATAGTTTTCTGATTATTTAAAAGCTATAATAAAAGCCTTTAAAATTAACATTTCATCTTAATTTTTGGACACTTTTGCTCTGTACTAGATCCTTAAGTGATAGCCTATATTATACTGCTCACAAATCCAATTTAGAAGCATGGCACTAAATCATTATTATATATATAATGGGATTTAGGTGGTGCCGGATTATCAGATATGCCGGACTATCAGGGGGTACTATAAGTTGGTTATATATATATATATATTATACACACACACACGCACACACGCACACACGCACACGCACACGCGCACACACACACATTCATTCATATTCAATATGATTAAGTCAGTCAGTAGATTAATGATAACTAGAATCACGAGCAAGGAGCAAAGACACACAATGTATTACAGACATATAAAAAGACAGTGTCCCTGTCTCAAAGAATTTATAATCTAAGACTCTAATCTTGTAAACTGTCCTGGGTAGATCATCCAAAGTGTGATCCCCCACCCATTACTTCAGTGGGGTACCATGCAGGTTCAGGGGACCACCTGCTTAGAGCAACTTGTGCATACTTGAAAAGCATATGTGACAGGGCAGACCAACTCTGCCCCTCCGAGGCGGATCTGCCCTGCACTGACCCGGCAGTCGCCCTCGCACTCCTAGGGATAGGCCGGGAGGTGCAGGGGCAGGGTTAGCCACATGGACGTGACGCATCAGCAGGACGCATCTGCGGGGCCAGCAGGTGACGTCAGCACGGCGAAGGGAGCGCGCCCACATCAGCAAGGTCAGCAGGTGACGTCAGGAGGTGTAAAAGAGGTGTCGCGGGGAGGGGGGGGGGGGGGGGGGGGAGAAAAAACCCGGCAGGGTGTGGTAGGGCGCGAGCTCAAAGGGGGGCTGAGGAGGACTCTGCTGAAAGGGAGAGAGAGAGAGAAAGGCAGAGGAGGCAGACCGTGGGGTAGGAAGCAGCCCAGGGCGGGGCATGGAATTGCGGCTGGTGAGCTGGCGAGTTGCAGGCTAGGACCCCCACCGGCTGGACAGGTTCAGTTGAACCTATCCTTAGGGCTCTGGGCTGAGGCCCGTGAGAGAGGGCGGGCCCGGGCCCCCCTACCCTGCGGCCACCCATCAGCGGAGGCGTCACTGGGACTGAGACTGAAGGTATTTGTGACTCCAGTACGGGGGAGACCCCAGGACTAGCCCAACCCCTTTTGGGGTGGCAGGACAGCGAGTGGTGGGCCAAATGTGCACAGAACTGGCACCGGGGAGGCTCTGCACTCCAACAGCATATCACAACATTTTTCCTCATTTTGCATTAAAAATCCCAAAGGAATTGAAACCCTAATGTGATGTTCACTGAAACAACTCTATTGAACATAATACAAGAGAAGCCTAATGCTGGAAGATACATGGAAGCCACAGAATATGGAAGCAATAGAACAAATTTATTTACAGTGTTTTTGCAAATGGGGAAAGATGTTGGAAGAGTCTGGTATAAACAATCTCCCCTTCTGTCTTCTAGTTGTGTTATATGCAGGTCATACATTAAAATAATGGATTAGGATATAAACCATGCAGAAACACTGGCACACCAAGACTTGACAAGAGGTGGCTGGTTACTTTTTAACACTATATGCACTTTGTTTTAGCATTTCTATTATCCATATTATCAATAGGGATGTAAAATCCTGTTTATTTGGTTAACCAGTTAAATGTAATGTTTAACCAGTTAATTGATTAAAGGAAGAACAGCTCAGGGGGTGCTCTAGCCCAACTGGGCTGGAGTGGACCCCCTATCATGGACAGGGGCTACTCTGGCTGGGCTGGAGCCCCTCCCCCCCATTCTTGGTGTGCCCTGTATGGCTGGAACAGCCCCCTGCTCCAGCCCTCAACAGTTAACTAGTTAACCATTCATACGTCTAATTATCAAAGAGACCAATTAGGTTGTAATGGTACTGGTACAAGATCACACAAAGCAGCCAATTTAAGATCATTCATGGTGCTTCAGAAAAGCCAAAAAATAGTAATACAAAAATAGTATCCAACAGTACAACCAAATGCACTACCAACAAGCCACAGACATATTCCACTTTAACAGGTGAATGGATTTAATGACTGTTATGTGTCCATGATGAACTAGACCACAATGCATTTAAGCATGTTATACACTGAAGTTGTTTTATTCATTTAAATTTCTGTGGTATAAAAACGAATGTGTAACAGCATACAAAATGCCAAACTTACAGAAGTACTTGGGATATGGTACATAACATTTATCACAAGAGAAAACATACTGAGCCATTCTAGCAGGTCTGAAAAATTGGGGACACAGCTGAAAGTTAAACAGCAGTGCTCCATTTTCTCACAAGCAGCAAGAAATTCTATAATTCTAGAATCTAGGTATAATTCGCTACTCTTGTATTGTTATTAATTATTGATACACAGAAGTTACTATCCATGGAAACCCTGCAGCATAACACATGATGTTCTACATCACATCTAATGCTGTATTACATCAGATTCAAAGAACTAAACTATAAACATTAATGTTGAAATATCAAACACACAATGGTAGGACATGCATGAGCTACAGTTGTACACAGCCTCCCTCTCCTCCATTCATGTGTTATGATAGTCCTCCCTAGCATCACATAAGAAAGCTGGGGCAAAGTAAAATTGAATATTGCTCTCCTTAGTCCTGGGCCAGTGCCTTAAACTGAAGGGAACAGTCTCTCTCTTCTCTTCCACATTATTTAAAAGTAATCTAAAAAACACAAATCCTGTCAGTTGAAGTTCCATTGCTGCATGGGTTATCAGCAAGGTTGGACTGGAGGACTAAATAGTAACAGTAGTACAGTGTTGTTTTCCACATGGGGATTTGACATACATGTTGCCACTATCCAAAAGAACTAAGTGGATGCGATTTGCCACAGGCTTTTTAATTATGTGCAACAGCAGACAGTCATGCAAATAACTACTATTAAAGAACAAAAAAACCTCAATCATACTTGAGGATTAGCATAATTAAGGTTTTAACAGTTTTATAAAAGTGGATATTGACAATTTTATTTGTATCAGATGATCATCCTATTCTTGTTCATCAAGCTATCGCTTTATTCAAATCCCTTCTAAAAGACTTTTCCATTAAGTATAGTGATAGAAATGTAGCTGTGTTAGTCTGGGGTAGCTGAAGCAGAATGCAGGACAATGTATGTGAGGTAATATTAAAGTATGTGAGGTAATATTAAAAAAAAGTGTTCAAAAATTCCTAGTCATTCACTTTAGTCTTCCCATTACTTCCCGCCTAGAGTGTGTGTTTGATACTGTTAGCTCCAAGCACTTGTGTGATTTTTCCCCCTCTCTTCAGAACACACTGGCTGTACTCTAATAATAAAGAGTAAGGACTTACCCGATGGAAGAATTTCTCTAGTCTCTCTTTTAGAACTTTTACACCTCCATCTTCTATGGCTTTAAGGAATGTACCATTAAAAAGCTAATAAGTTAAAAAAGCAGCATCAGTTGGGCAGTTGTGTAAATAGCATAGTTATTCATAACACAAAGGAAAAAAAAAGAATTATATTGTTACCCACATAATTCCTTTTTCCCTAACTCCATACAATCTCACAGAAGTAGACGATATGTACCCTCATCAGATTTGGAATAACCTTCTGGGATAACCAGTTAATCAACATCTATTACATGAAGGAATTTAATCTTCACAGAAATGGAGCATGGTTTTACTACTACTTATTGCTGTGAACTCAAGAAAAGCACAGAGAACCACAAAAGCATTCTCCCCACTGCTACTACCATATTTTCAGAAATAAGAGGACAGTACAGATCAGGCTGGAACCCCCTAAATCATTTGTTCATGTTTAGATATCAGGGTGCAGAAGGTGGTCTATCTCCCTCTTTCAAAGGGCTAATCTTGATACAAGTCTATTACACTTACCTTGTACATGCTATAGCACTGCTGTAGGACTGAACTGTAAACCTTGTCCTGTAAAACAGACAATAATAGGTCATCACTGCAAAAACAGGCACGATTCCAAATATTATGACTGACCTACAAATGACATGGACTTTTTTTTTTTAAACTACTACATGTACGGCAGAATACAGAAAGGTAGAACAGCTTGTACACAAATCAGAAACAAAAAACTCCTAGCAGTTATTGTCTACTGCTGAAAAAAGTAATCTGTGAAGTATTTTCTCAGTATAACACATCCATTAAGAACATAAGAATGTATCTAGTTCTTTTTTGAACTTTTATAGTCTTTTCCTTCACAACGTTCTCTAGCAAAGAGTTCCATAGGTTGACTGTGTTGTGTGAAGAAATATCTCCTTTTGTTTATTTTAAACCTGCTGCCTATTAATTTCATTTGGTGACCTCCAGATCTTGTGCTATGAAAAAGAATAAATAGCTCTATCTACTTTTTCTACAGCTTCAGATGGGTAGCCAAGTTAGTCTGTAACAGGAAAAAAACTTAAAAAATAACAAATGGACTAGTAGCACCTTAAAGACTAACAAAACATGTAGATGGTATGACAAACTTTCGTGGGCACAACCCACTTCTTCAGATGACAGGAGTGTTAGAAGTACAGAGCCACCCGATGTCCTTGTTCATACCATTTGCATAAGAATTAAACTTGTAAATGAAGTTAAGTTCCAATCCTTCCCTTTGGTAAGTCCCCGCCAGTCCCACATCACCTGCCCCATCCCCTGAAGGACCTGGGCAATGGGAGGGTGTGTGTGTGTGTGTGTGTGTGTGTGTGTGTGTGTGTGTGTGTGTGTGTGTGTGTGTGTGTGTGTGTGTGTGTGTGTGTGTGTGTGTGTGATTTATACAACATAATATAAAATTAAAACTAAAATATTTAAATTAGAAAAGTAAAGGCAAATTTAGAAAGAATAACTCAACATTACCAGTAACTCTTCTTCTTGATACTCAATGACTGGTTTTCCATCTTTGTGGTGTTTTTCTATTATGGGATTCCTTACTACCTAGAAAGTGGAACAAACTGGCATCAGACAATGCAGAATGTATTTAGCAATTTTTAATATTTTAGGAAGGTATATATCACGTGTATAAATACCATGACCATCCAGAAATTTTCTTCAGGTTCATTGAAGAGCTGTCTATTCTTCTGAGTATGCAAGGATTTTGCGGGTTTTGACGGACTAAAGGTCCTATAAAATAATTTATTTGGAACAAAATTTTAGAAAATATACAGTTTGTTATACGGTTAACTATGCAAACAGTAATACTTTACTACCTTGTGAACTGTACTATAGCTTCACACAATCCAACATTTCTAATTTTTTCATTCTTTTCTACTTCATTTGGGTGATAAAAGAGAATCTTCTTTTCCTCCTAAAATTTGAAATAAGAGTAAAGATGACTAAATTTTAAACAGAATAGAAGAGATCCAAAATTAAGTAATTTTTAAAAATAAACACTGGCTCCTTAAATTTACTGAACAAAGTTTTAAAAATTGTCTCATAACCAGACAGACTTATAATAATAATAAATTAAAGTCATATGTTGCACATTAAGAAGGCCTGCTATCAAAAAAAGACCTCATTACAAATGTGACACAAATTACACACAAGAATCAATTAATTTTCGATTGGAATTTTTAGAGCAACTGTTCAGATGTGCACAGGGACACCATACATTAAAGGCAGTAAATAAACAATAAGTTTGCTTCTCAATGTGTATCATAGAATACTAGGACTGGAAGGGACCTCGAGAGGTCATCGAGTCCAGTCCCCTGCCCGCATGGCAGAACCAAATACTGTCTAGACCATCCCTGATAGATATTTATCTAACCTACTCTTAAATATCTCCAGAGATGGGGATTCCACAATCTCCCTGGGCAATTTATTCCAGTGTTTGACTACACCGACAGTTAGGAACTTTCTCCTAATGTCCAACCTAAATCTCCCTTGCTGCAGTTTAAGCCCATTGCTTCATGACACCCTTTGTGGTAATGTATTGGGCCCCATTTCTAAATGCTAAAGTTTTAGCTAGACACAGTCAGCTTAAAATCATACTTTTGCCTGAATATAAAAACATAGTTAGAGTAAATACTTAGATAACTGTAGCTGCATTTTCACTATTTTCAGTTCATTTTTTGCAGTTAAATATTATTTTTTGTCTAGCCAGTTTCATTGCTGCTGCTGCTGCGTCAGTTTCAGTTCCCCCTGTCTTTTGTGTGGGACTTTTACAGTGCAACAAAGAACAGAGAAATCATTTGAAAAACAGAAGTATGTCATTGTAAAGCCACAAATGTTGGTAAGTTAGGATTCAGGGGAAGCTGTAATGCTGAAAACTTTCAGCTCCTACTTTTAAGCTGCAAGGTTCCCTTTATAGCTTGTGAAGTAGTTAAGAACAGCCCTTCTCTATAGGTGGCTATAACTAATGATATTAATACTGCAGAACATTTTACTGTCCAGTGTTAAGGGGGTGAGAGGAGGGGAGAATGGTTCCAGCAGAAGCCTAAGATCAGGTTTGTGTTAGCCTGACATGCAAACGTAAGTCAGGATGCCCTGGTAGTACAGCCGCATCGTCGCAAGGCAACGTCCTTGATGTTTCACGGGGGCTCCATCATTGAGAGACGTGGAGCTTGGATTTACCACGTGAATGTTGGAAAGATAAGAGGACAGCGGGTGGGGACGCCCCCCTGACAGGCACGCAGAGGTCACCTACTCCTCTCCCCTCAGACAGACACACAGACACTCCCCTCTCTGCCCCCCACCCCGCGCCCCAGGCTCTCCCGCCCAGACAGACAACGACCGTCCTCAGGTGAAAATGAACCGCCCTCCCCCCAACACTGTTCTAATGCAGATACACTTTCTAAGACTATATCTAATTAGACATCTCGTGAAACCATTTTGCTTTTAGCAAGGAGTTAGGATTTGTAATAAACTTATTAGGAATTTGGGGACATTTTAATGATTATACACAGTTCTTAATAATGTATCTTATACTTTTTTCTTATGTTAAATCACAGAAGTAAGTGGGTGAGCAAATTCTTGTTCATGGATTACAAGGTACTGTGCACAGTTAGTGCAAGGAAGCTACTCAACAGTTTCAATGATTAAGAAATGAGATACGAATAGAGTATTATAAACCTGAACCAATTAATAGATCTTTGTTTTTTCACTATTATAAGTATTAGTAGGTTTTAGAAACTTGCTTTTTAAAAAAAAAAATCTAAAAATAAACTGTGGTTCATTATAAAAAAAA